ATCAGTATTAAGACAAATCCTGTTTAGCTGAACATAATAATCTCGTCTTAAACTTCTTTTCTGTGATTTTTTCTTTGCATTGTGTTGAAACTTTTCTTTGAATATATTATATGAATATGTAGATTAACCTAACGAATTATGAGAGATGCACTGTAAAACAATTCCAAAATTTATTTAAATATGAAATTATCGGTTAACTTTTCTAAATCAAATAATATATTGGCATTATTAGGTTATTATTTCTAAAACAATGTATAAAAAATTAAAGATTTTAATAGACCTAATACAAGTAAAATATGAATTATACAATCCAAATATATCATGACATCTACTCCTTATAAAGATATACATCATCCAAAAATTCTAGTGACCTACAATTTGTTAAATGTTAAATAATTATTAGTCTTCAAAACGATTTACATCATCTAATCATTATATCATCCTGTACACTCTCCACAGTCTTTAATTTGGTTAATATATATAAATATATATAAGTAATTATAATTTTTTAATCTTTTTTTATCCTTCTTTCTATTATGTGTCAATACTCTAATATCAAAATTTTAAAAACATTCAGAATTACACTAAGAAATAACAAGACAACTAATTTGATTGACTAAGATATAAGAAGCATTGCAAATTAGAAGTTTAAGGAAAAAAATACTCATTATAAAAATTGAGAGAACCAAGGTTAATCTTCTTTTGGCCTATATTTACACAAGTTGCAAGGTTTAAAGACTAGTATTAAATTTTTTAAAGATTTGCCACAAAATTTTACTAACTAAAACTTAGTGAATAAAACTTGTTACCAAACATTTTATACAATTGTTTCAACAAAAGCTTACATACAGTGACAAACAAAACCGAGTACAAAATCTGAAGTGCCAACTTTCAAGAGCAATTACAGAAATTTCAATGATTGCTTTATAAATCTGAAAGTTACATGGAATAATACACACAGTCTTGTACACATGTACAAAGTTGCACATCAAATTGATAACTAAACATCCTTCTACAAAGTCAAATCAACAACTATGTCTTGTACTCAGTATTGTTCAAAGAAAATCTTCAAACTTCAATATTTAGTCCAATAACCTTTTGCTTCCAAAACAGCTGAAATCCTTCTTGGCATACTTTTGTATAGTTTCTCACAATCTTTTGCATCAAAACTAGGATAAATACTACAAACATTCTCCCACAATTCTTGAACACCTCTTGGCCTTGGAGTGACTTGGCTTAAACACTGTTTGAGAAGGGTCCAAAAATGTTCCATTGGATTCAAATCTGGAGATTGAGCTGGCCATCGAAGGAGCTGAAATGGCTGTGAAGAGAGCCAAAACTGAACACTTTTTGCCGTATGTTTGGGATCATTATCATGTTGAAAAACCACCTTAGTAGGATTTAAGTTGTAATTCTCTATGGTACTTTGCAAATAGGTTTCTAAAATTTTTTTGTACAAGTGTTGCTCCATTCTACCTTCAATTTGATACCAAGCACCCAGCCCAAAAGCAGTCATACAACCCCAAATCATAATTGAACCACCACCATGTTTGACAGTTTGACTAACATGTTTAGGTCCAGGTCATTCTCCTTCTCTCAACCAACACCAAGACCTACCATCTGAGTTGATTAGGTTAATCTTTGTCTCATCACTGAAAATAACCCGTCTCCAATCATCAACGGTCCAATTTTTGTATTTATGAGCAAAACTCAACCTTGCAAGAACATGTCTTTTGGCAAGTAGAGGCTTCTTTTGTTGCACACAAGCACCCAAACCATCTTCTCTCAAACCACGCCTCAAGGTGATGTCTAAGAAGTGTTTACCTATTTTTTCTCGAAGTTGTTTTGCAGCTGCACTTGCCGTTTTGAGACAACCAGCAGTGACAAGGTGCACACCAAGTTGCTTCTCTTGCTCTCCTAAAACCTTTGGACGTCCTCCTCTTTGCTTTTCTATTTCACCACTAATCTCCCTCCTCAGATGAGCTACTGAAGACTGACTCATTCTAAGTGAGTCTCCAACTTTTCTTGTAGAAACACCACTCCTAAGCTGCACCAATGCTTGGTGCTTCAATGATTCACACAACCGAGGCATAGAGATACAATTGACAAATCAACTTTCACTATAGATAGTACACAACAAGAGCAACACAACAAACAAAAAATGCCCTCAAATCTTGCAACAAGGAGTGTACATTGAAATTTCAAAATTCAGCAAGAAGAAGCAACCAAAACTGAGTGCGCACGTTTGTGTGCTTCTACAACACTTTTCTCATAAACCCTACCTCAAATGATAATGAGATTTTTCATCCATGTAGAGGACTGGATGAATACACACAATAAAAAAGTAATTCTATCAATTGACTTATGTTTCAGTTGGAAGGATTAATGAACTATGAGTGTTCAGATTTTGTACTCGGTTTTGTTTGTCAGTGTACAAACAAATTGGCTAATTTTCTACATAGTATTTGTAGAATTGTTTTTCTTTTTTAAAACTCTAAAATATCTATGTATGTATGTATGTATGTATGTATGTATATAATATAAATAATTCTGAATATTAATATACATGTCATTACTTCTTCTACTAATAAGAAAGTAATCGAGAAATATTAAATTTTTATTTAATATATTAAAATCAAAATAATAAATGAAACTTCAAAACCAACAAAAATTTCCAATACTTATATTTGACAATGTATTTAAATTATGATACTACTTCACCAACCGCATTTATACATGACTTAAAGATTTTCTAAATATATAAGATTGCTTTCAGTTTCAAAGTGTCAAAAAACAAACATTTAATTTAAACCTATGTTCTTAAAAGTTATAAACTTTTTAACTTTGCTACTCAAGTGTTTGTCATCTTAGAACTTCTCCTTTTCAAACATGTTATTATAAAGTTATAAATTGAGGTACTTAAAATCCATTTTCTAAAAAAATTGAGCAAATAATAACTCTGGTATGGATTTGATTTGAGTGCAATTTGATTTTTGTATTGTAACATTGTATAAATTAGAAACAAATTATTAAAAAATAGGTTAAATAAAAATTATATGTTGATGTAAAAATAACTCGAGACAGAGATTTTTTTTCTTAATATTATTTTAATTACATGATATTTAATATCTAAAAATTGTGTTTGAGCAAATATACATGTCTAAATAAATTGCAATATATTGAAGTAATTTAATTAAGTATAGTTTTTAGTTCTATGCATGGTCATTAATTTCTTAAATAAATAATATATCAAACACTATTCTTCTTTTGTTAATCTAATTAAATTAAGAATCTTGCTCTATCTTAAAAGTTTTTAATGATTCTTACTTATTATTATTATTATTTGTAGTATAAGATGAAGAGAATTATCATCTTCTAATAATTCCATTGATTTAGAATCTCATGTATGTGTGTATATATATATATATATATACACATATATACAGAAAAACCTTTCTGAACCTACAAATATATTATGTGATAGATAATAATCTTTGAGGCTAGTTTTACAAATATAACAAGCCAAAACTTTATGAAATAAACTTGATATTTAAAGTATGCATCATATATTGTATAAAATCATTTGTTATGATGATAGCTTTTGATATCTAAAGTATGCTATCATCATAACAAATGATTTTAAATATATATGTAGATATATATTAGATACTTTCTAAAATAATAATGATAAATGATAAAAATATAGTTTTTTAATGATTTAATATTGGTTGCAAAGTTTTATAAAAATTTGCCTAGATATTCGTACTTTAGATATCTATAAATAAACTTAATATCTAATCATCTTCATGTAGTTTTTTTTATTTATTTTAAATAAACAATAAAATAGTGTTAAATATAAATTATTATTACAATGGTTGAGTTTTGCACATTGTAATACAACTCAATCTTCAACAAAGAAGATACTTGGAATAAATGTTAGATATTTTAAAGACATCAACTACATAAACACCTTAAACAAAAAATATATACATATGATAAAGTTATAATTATATATAACAGTAAAAACTATTCAAATTATTGTAGCATGTTTTCTAAAGAAATAATCCCAAGACCCAACTTCTAGATAAATGTTGATCTGCACTGTCATTCTTAAGAGATTTAGTTTAGATAAGGTTTTGCCCTCTTACAATTAAATGCACATTCCTTCTAAGCTCAAGGGCAATCAACTTTGTAGAACATGTACTTTATGGACTTTTTCACATGCAATCAATTGCTTGGATTCTCTAAAATATTGGTAGGAGGGGTGCATAGTTCAAGGTGTGGAATCTTGTTTTAAACAAAACACAACTATTTATAAGCAATTTGATAGAACTAAAATTTTAAAGTTGACTAGAATGGACTGGCATTAGCATATGAGGTAAGAGCTGGGTACTTATTCCCCTACAGATAGGAGCAATAGATAATAGAGCAATACCATTACCAAGTAAATGGTGTTATACTTGGTGAGAAAGATGAGTGCCATACAAACTAGTCCACATGGTAAGCTCATTGCATTTTTTTTGTATGTCATCTTCCTTGAAATATTGTATCTTTCATCGGGCTCCTCTCATTGGCCCACTCTCACTTACATTCCTTAGGTCTGATACCTTGAACAGATTTTCTAAAAAGATTTAAATAAGCCTAGGTTCAAGTCTCCTCCAAAGTCCAGCTTGGAGTTGGTTCTCGGTGGCATTTCATTTGTAAATGCTAAAAAGGAAGAGAATAAGAGTAATGTTAGTGCTATTAAGGACTGTTTATCAGTTATATTCACAACTTACATGTACATGTTATATTGGTACTTTTTGTTTCATTGTGAAATTCATGAACTTCACTTATGTGTGGGTCTGTAGAAGAAACACCACTGATCACTTTTTTACTAAAAGAAGGCTACCCAACAGCAATAAATCATGAGAGAAATAACACTTGCATTTGTCAAACACCAGTTATAGCCACTAAATTCCTTGTCAAACAAACCTCATGCCGATCCTGTACAAGCGAGATAGGGAGAGACTTGAATATTCAGGAAGTTTGAAGTGGTTAACACTGCTGTCAAAAAAGCAGACCAGTGCTATGACGCCACACACTTCTTGAAGCAAAAAAATGCATCATATTCATGGCAATGTTGTGTTGAAATCCATTTGCTACTGAACTCAAGCAGCAATTTCAACTTCACCATCATCAATTTCCGTCTGCAAGTCCTTAGGGTCCTTGTTGTCTACGGTACAACCTACCGAAACGCAGGTACCCAAAATCTCCTTCACAGTGCCAGCCAACTCCTTGGCCATCGATCTAGGGGCCATGATCTTGGCGATCTCAATTACGTCGTCAAGGGAAATGTTACCGTTGTGCTTAATGTTCTTGACTTTCTTCCTGTCACGCTCAGGCTCTTTTAGAGCCTTGATTACAAGGGCGGCAGCACTTGGGACAACTGCAACCTTGGCCTGCGACATATTACAGATGGCAATGTGAATACATGTCACAGGGCAGAGCAGGCAAAGAATATTCCAAATTGAAAAAAGGTTTTAACACGGAAGTTTGAGAAGCCTTGATATAAAAAGCCACAGAAAAATGAACTCCCAAATCCCCACCTGACGATTTTGCACAGTGAGCTTGACCGTCACTCGCAGACCCTTCCAGTCCCTTGCGGTCTCCTTAGCGATGTCCTCACCAACCTTCTTTGGTGATAGACCTAGAGGACCAATCTTAGGCGCAAGCGATGATGCAGCACCAACCTCTCCTCCTGTATCATGGCAATTCACACGGTCTTATGCTTAAAAGATTTCCGAGGAAAGTGAGGTAAGTAACAAATTAAACCTAATCCTAAGAAAAATGATTGTGCCTGAACAGAAGTGATAGCCAAGAGAGGCGAAATTAGTACGCGAACAAAAAAAATACAACATCCAAATAAACTAGACAAAGAATGAGCACGAAAACTCTACAGAAAAATAGATTGCATTCTAGAGTGGATCTCAGATACATGGTTTCTCAAGCAACGTGTAGAACAAAAACAATGCTTGCGGAGCACGAACTGAAGAGCCAAACGAAAACTGTCACATGTGTGCTGATGTCATGTCTCCGTCCACAAAAACAAGTGAAAACATGAACACATATAAAACTGGAAATCAACCAGAGTAAACTTCCTAGTGAAGTGACGAACGACTTTACCCCTAAGATATCCAAGAAACTGAGGACACCAGGTCTGAATGTTAAATTAAAGTGAGCTTCAGACATTTAACTCTCCAGTCAGAGCTGAGTTAGTGAGTTGGTTCCTACAATTTGCTTCCGCTTAATAAGCCAGGCAATTTCAAATCATGCACAGTAAAGAGAATTTCGCATGCGAATTCAAATTCAATCTTGTAATACTTCCATTCTACGGTTTATCGAAACAAAAACATGCACCCGATAATAATTGATAATCTGTCATGTGATACCGGAATCGTAAACAAAGCCCAGTAATACGTCTCACGACACATCCTACGGTTCAGTCTGGAAGTTGCGACTCCGCAGAGGAGTTCGGCGACACAGAGTAGACAGAGCATGATATATGAGGTTTAAACAGCTGTCTAATCCTCACTAATTGAAGGGGTTCAATCTTGGTGTCAAATCACGCGCAATGTCTTCATACAACACATCCACGAACAAAGTCATTGATCCTAACCGCAGACTATCACTATTAAAAACATCGACATTAGGCATCAAATTTGACAAGAAATGCCAGACCTCGAAAACTCTAAGATGACTCCTAAGGAGAATCCAAGCTCAACACAAGTAACGAATCATGGAGACCAAAGAAAAGATCTAAAAAATCAAGATATAAGACGAATATTCAGAGCACCAAAAGAAGAAACAGACCTCAAGAACACTGACCAGTGCCACCATTCATGAACTCAAATCAACCAACGCAGGTAGTGGTTCGAAGCCAGCACCATTGAAAATACGAAGAGAAACGCAGAGAAAAAGAGTAAAGTCACCTGTGACACGCACATAGACCTCCACAATCTGCGAGGGGTCCAATTTGGGCGGCATGGTGGCTAGCTGGAGGGGGGGATGCGAAGCGCAACGCAGCTGAGGCAGGGGCGAGCAAACTGGAGAAGAGGGTCAGAGAAGTCCCTCCGTCCTGCTTTAGGGTTTCTCCAAAGCCCTAGGGGTTTGATATCCTGGTTGAGAACCGGATGTGTCCTGCCAGGTTTTGGATGCGTCCCTCTGTCTTGCTCTAGATTGGAGTCCTACGGATATGGAGCCTCACAGTGGAAGTGGTTGATTGTAGAGCTACATGTCGTATACATTCTGAACACCAAATTGCACTTCGGCAGACTATCACTTCGCCTTAACAAATTGCACTACTGAGTAGCATAGATGCTGAATAGCATAGAAATACATATCATTGCTTTAGTCGGTTTACAACTTGGAATCTAAAGCTGGTGTATGCTCGATAGGAGAGCACCCACTGATGAGTGCTGCCGTCAGACGAAGGTTGCAATAAAAATTCGACTGATTAGTGTCGAATGGATTATGAAAGCAAGCTAAACTACTGAAAATCGTTATCATTAAGCCCGAGATCTTGAAATTTCAGACCGATTGTGATCAGCGTGGTCGCTGTGTGGGTTCAAGGATCGACAGGCATGTGTACAAGAAACTGAAACATTTCACTCCTCGTCTCAGATTTACCCACTCTGATTGTATGACCGCTTCCAACCCAAAAGGTTGCAGTATTGTGGCTTCTAATATCTATAATTGCGTGCTCACACAATTTGCACAATTCTGACGTAGATTCAGTGGACGCACTCGCCAAGACAGGGCTTTTGTTTGCAAAATCCTAAACCTGTTTAGCGAGAATTAAGGGCAGCAGACCAAAATGATGTCAATACTCGGCATAGAAATTGCTTCCGGTGTGGACGATTTGTTGTAGTCCTTATTTTGAATCGCTACAGTGTGTCTGTGATCAGCTCATTGTGATGTTTCCGCCGAAACAACCTTCAATATTCGTCTGGGTTATTGGATGAGCCTGTTGGTTCGAGAGCATACCCATTCAACCAGTCAATGTATCGGCCGGTTACCATTACCACAAGGTTTGGGGCGAAGTTCACATCTGGGCAACAGGTATTCTGAAATGGTCATGTTCAGGGTTTTGCAAACGAAGGGAAAGTCAAGAAGAACGGACCAGAGGACTGGGGCCAGTTTGAGCCTGCAGCAAACTAGAAACTCAAAAAAATTGCGCGAACAGAACATGGACCCAAGGAGGATAATTCTACACTCCAGAATCTACACTTGAGCCCGAGGAAGCTGTGCATAAAATACAACTGCCCCGAAACCGCAAAGTGGTCATGCGGCGTTCCAGCCTGCCTAGTTTGACAATTTCGGTGAGGTTCATGCAGCGGAACATTTGCGACTACGCCAGAACGTTTCTTTGCACTTCCTCAAAATATCAGACAGTTTGATAAGGCCAATTCCTAATTTGTTTGAGAATCAACCACAATTCAACACAGATACGACCCCATGACGATGCCCTCATGTGCAGATGCTGTCATACTAACCCAGTGCATCCAGAATGACTCACTAAAAGGAGAGTCCGATCCTGTATTACTGCACTGGCCACATCTCTGTGCGAAATTACAGATCTCACCTGGCAAGGTCATATGCTTTAGTCAGCCTGATCTCCGTCTATACATGAGATGTACAAACCCTACATGCAAAACAATCGTAGTAACGTTCTCTTAAAGGTTGCAACCCTACCACTTGGTGCTGGACAGAAAAACGATAATAGAACATCATAATACAACGAGGACTAACACAGGCATCTACGATACCTTAAAGTATAGTCATTTACTCAATCATTTAAGTCCCAATCCTGCTGTACCTTTAGTAAAAATGACACTATTCTGTTAGTTACGAAGGGTTGAGTCAGTCGGCAAAAATGGTCCCGATGCCTAAATCTCAAATCCGTTTCTGATCTGCTTTGTTCCTATGACAGTAAGCGCAACGAGAATCTGTAAATTACACCAAGCAAAAAGCCATTTCTGTATACTCATTGTTGATCGCAGCAGAAGCTGTACTCAGTCCATACAAAAAAGTAAAAACAGTGAACATAAATTAGAAGGAAAAAAGATCAACCACACACCAAGAATCCTCCCTCCGGCAACCAAATTGGTAGAAAATCAACAAGTCTCAACACTGTTTACGTTTGAATTGCCGCGCTTCCAACTTGCGAACATAGCCAGAGGAGGTACAGATCGACACAATCTTCTCGAGAAACTCAGCCAATCCTTTAAATGAACCCGTATATACGGCAATAATATTAATTGTTTGGGAACACTGTTCGGCAACTACATGAAGAGACTTACCGTCCTTCAGGACGCAATAGCTCGCACTAACCAGTCTAAACTTGGATATGAAAAATACACCACCAGGAAGGATGGTATGGCAAACAACACGGTGATCAAGCAGTATAGAGCAAGCACTAGGGTGCTGAAAGGGAGCACGTACACTACAATGAACAGGAACAACAGGACAAGGGGGATTCTCGCCGTGAACTGCAAAAGAGAGGCCACGACACGAGTGCCAGATCGCTGCCAATGATGGAAGTTCCACCAATCGCCAACTGCCGCAACGGAATTTCCCGTCACGATGGCACCTGGAGAAGCGGCGCTGAAACCCACACGGCCTGCGCGGGAGGTTATCAGGGATGCAAGGTCGAGCCCAAACATCGGGGCTAGTTCTGTCTCATTCGTGCACGCTGGAGGGCGGCCGTGCTCCCCTTGAAGACTTTCCACAACCCACAGTAGAAAAAAATTCTTGCACGGGTACTTGAGTTGACCCTTCCACTTGAATCTAAACGTCAGGAATTGGCACCAAGGACAGGAAATGAAGAGCGGCAGCTGGAGCGGGAGGCCGGACAGTTTCACTGTAGCCCACTCCAAGTTCAGGACGCAGCTTTTGCAGAGGGAATGTCCGCACCACAGAACATACGGCGTGTTGTCTCTGTCATCCAAGATTTCCCAGCACACCGGGCACTCCAACCCTTCCTCCAAGCTCCGACTAGCTGAACCCGTGCCAATCTTCGGGTTGGGCGCCGGCTGGTAACCACTATGACACTCACAGGGAGCCATCAGCGTAGTTTCGTTCCCCAGTTCTTGCGACATAGAACCCCAAACCTTAGATCAAGACATTCTCAAACACGACCCCTAAATCTGGACTGTGTCTCGCTCTCGCTCGCTCGCTTTCTTTCTCTTCCCCCCTGCGGCTACGTCCGTGCCATCGCCATGGCCAACACACCACAACACACCCAACCGATTACTAACACTACCACGCGAAACAAACGGCAAAAGGTCCCAACAGGGCAACCCTGCCAAACGCCCCCACCTCGGTCTCGGCACCATGAAATCCTGCCTGCACTCCGCGGTATCAACTTATCCCATGGTTCCACGCTAGTTCAGGATAAAGCACAAACCGCGTAGGACGGCACAAAGGTCGAAAGCAATCTACCGCCTCTAGGCCCCAGCATCGTGAACGCAAGCGATTCCCTACTCTTAACCTACTACTTCCGGGTGTACGAATTTGGGGGGGAAGATCCTCACACGCAACACAATCGACACCAGCACCACGTCGCACTCCCTTCCCTTCGCCACTATAATGGCCCACAACAGCGAATTGGGATCTCTGGAGATTCTTCTGCTCTCTTCGATTGTCTTGTCCGTCTGCCACATGGTGTGAGGGAGGGATTCCCTCCTCCTCCTCCTCCTCCTCCTCGGTGTATGAACTCATTCCCCGTACTCAGTCACTCTGCTCCGTGCGGTGTCGGCACTCCCAGTCTCCGCGGAAACTCGTCCTCCGCGCCGCTTCCATCCGCCACACAAATGGCGTTGTCTTCTATTATGAAATCTACTCATTTTATATTTGGTAGAATACTAATAAATTAATAAGTGTTTATAAATATATATTAAATAGACCTAGACTTTAAGTAAATTGACCCATTCTGAAAAGAAAAATGACATCTAGATCCATTTGTCCACTACTAGATCTGAAACCAATGAAAACCTACCATATTCATCATGATTAACATATTCTTCATCATAGGTAGGTCGATTTGAAAAACTTGGGTCTATTTAATATTCCCCTACATATGTATATATGTATGTAAATAAATAAATAAATAAATATATATTTATTTATTTATTGTAGGTTTAATAGTATTGTTAAGTATACCAATAATACTTGTATGAATGATAAATTATTGGATGAAATTTGTAATTTGTGATTTTTTAAATAAAATTAGAAAGTAAAATTATTGAATAAATTTTGTTAAAATTAATTGATTTTTTTGTTTTAAAATAAAATAAAATTTGATATCATTTATTTTCAAAAAAAAACTTTAAAAAATACATGATTATATATAAAAGCTAGTAAAATAAATTGTATAGTTGCTCTATTTATTTCTTTATTCTTACGCTTGTAAATTTACTACTTTAATACAATTTGAAGTCATTAAGACAAATAGTTGTATTCTATTTTTATTATATAAATAAATTTGATAGGTCTTAGAGTTGCTCATTAAGATAACATAAGATATAATTGGTTGTGGATAAATATTGAGGTTTAAATGTTTGTACCTATATTTTATAATCATTGGCTTTAACTTTTAATAATGGATATTATGTATGCAATTTTTATTATAAATTATTAATAAAATAAAATAAGAAAATACAATGATAATAATAATATGGTGAAATAACATCTACTTAAATAACTCAAGATAACAAAAAGATATAGCTTTCTAACAATTTCTTTTGATTTTTGGATGTTACAAAGTATTTTGTGATTTAACTTTGAGGATATTGTATAATCTTGATTTTTGCTACTATATAATATTATACAAATACATTAGTATATTAATCATTTTTTAGAAGATTAACTAAGATAATTGTTAATTAATATGATTAATATAATAATAGATTTGGACCAATAAAGTCTAAATAGTACAAAGATCCAAATCCATAGAATTTGTATAACAAAAAGATAGAAATTAATAAGTTTAAAGAGGATTGGAGATACCCAATCCATCTACAAACTGTACATCTATGTTAATTAAAAATAAAGTCTAGATAATACATGAAAAGAGTCTATTATAGGTTAGAAATACTTAATCTACTTAAAAATTAGACATCCAAGTTGAATCAATTTAGGACAAGACAACAAGTAATTATTGAAAAAATATATTAGTAGTGTCACAAATATACATATGTATTATAATAAATACCTATATAATTAGATAGAAGTAGGTAAAAATAGATAAAAGTAGATTAATTTCATAGTACCTTTTATAGAAGCTTTTTAGAAGCTTTATAGATGCTACTTTGACTTTACCTATATTTGTAGCTGATTGATAGATTAGAAACTTGGTCAATAATTAACCACATATTGGTAGCTTGCAGAACAAGCTAACTATGTGGTACACATATAGAAAATTGTCGAGGACATGAACTGAAAGATGATGCATAAACCAATGAAATCCACATCAAAGAAAAAAGTGACAAAATATAAATAATGAAGTATGCATATTAAAAAAGAAACTAGAATGGCTTATTGCCTAAAGACAAGAAAACTTGAGGTTCTTGAAACTGGACTAGAAGCAAGAAAGGAGTTGACAAGAGTGAAGAAGGCTTCACTCTTGTTTCTACATATAATATCTAACTAAGGGCTATGTGGCAATGTTCTATGAGACCTCCAATATGTGTTGACTTTGTAGGATACATGCCTTGACTTATAAGGCAAGTTTTTCTATATGTTCGCCATATAGTTGGCTTGTTCTTCAAGCTACCAACATGTATGGTACATGATTAACTTGTTGACCAAAGTTCTAACATAAAAGTCAACAATGGACACCTATAAAGTCAAAGCAACATCTATGAAGCTTCTAGGAAGCTTTCTTAGTAGATTTTATAGAATTAACTTACTTTTATCTACTTCTATCTACTTCTATTTATTTATACAAGTAATTATTGGCTTACATGTGTATATCCGTGACATTACTCTCCATTCTAGGGATAATTTCCATGAAGAGTGGTCATCATATGTTGACAAAATCTATGATGAGACAAATTATATTCACGACATACTCAGATCTTTGTTCCTTATGAAGATGGTCGATAGGACCTCTCAACTATTGATAGTGTTCCATACTAGGGCGGGAAGACCACAATGTTGTTTGATCATTCTTGAGGCCTCCATAACTTCCTTCAAATAAAACATTTGGAACATCGTTAAGAATTCTTGCTATCTCTAATAAAATTACCAAATATTGGGAGTCTCTTCCAAGGTCGTGATACCAAATGCATTGTATCTCACCATTTATTTAAAGAAAAATATGTCATTTTTGAGGATCTTCATCTCGATTGCATCATCTTGAAGGTTGTGACAATTATAATTTCTCGTCTAGCAGGTCAACAAACAAAGGTTCTTCAGTTGAATTCACTATTTGTTGATTCTCTATCTTCTTAGCGTCACAAATATAAAGAAGCTCCAAACAAGGATTGAAAGTAGAATGTTATCTTGTCTAGATCTTGTTTCTTTTTATAAGAAAGGTCTTTATTTTGATTTTGATGGATGTCATTGATGAAAAGCCTCTACCTTCTTTGCTACATTTGCAAGATTCTTTACTAGCTCCCATGTGCATTTATTAATATTATATCCGTGTCAATGAACAAGATATTCTAACTTATTCTAGTACCGCCTTGAATCTAGGACTTCTTCCACTTCAAATTCTTCATTATTGACAACTTCTATAGGAAGAGGTGGCACTTATTTTCTTTTTGATATGTCCACTATCTTGTATGGTTCAAGAAGAGACATGTGGAATACATGATAGATTTTCATTGATTCCAATAGATATAAACGATATGCAACTAGATTAATTTGTATAAAAATAAAAAATGGTTTAAACCTATTTGTTTTAAAATGAATAATAGTTGAAGATGTCTATAAAGTTGATGATAGAGAGTTTTTGATCTTGAACAAATGTTGCATGACTGAACAAAGTCTTTCACACCCTTTCACATTTGTGGCCACCAAAAATCTCTAGATATAAGCTCCAAAGTCTTAATGTATTCAAAATGTTCTATTGCTGGAAAGTTGTGACATGCTTGAAGAACACGTAATCATGCTTCTTCTTTAGGAACATATAATCGACATTCAAAATATAGCACATTGTCTTTAAACTTAAACTTAGAAGTAGCTTGAGAGTTAAAAGAAAGATTCTTGATATTGTGAACAAGAACATCAGAAGACACACTTGATTGGATTTGTTTCAGAAGGGTGGAATCAACAGTCAATATTGATTTCAAACTTCAAGATGAAAATACTCTAGTTTCAAGAAAATCATTTTTTGTTAATCAAAAGATGCACGTCTTTCTTTGGGAGCAAGATAAGAACGTCTAAAAAAGGCGTTTAACAAATCTTGTTATTTTTTGGATCGATATGTGATCTTGAAACTAAATCTTGATAAAAACATGCTCCAACGGTGTCGTGTTGTAACACGACTATATGGTGAAAATATAAATGAAAAAGATATTATTAATATTTAGTCATCTTGGATGTTAGAAATAGTGGCCAATTCCAATGCCAATATTCAGGGTCAATTAATATCACCCCATCGACATCATCGAATCAAGTACCCTCCGTACCAACGGGACAACCAGGATCATTTTCCAACCCTACATAGAACAAGCCTAGTAGGTATATACCGGTGGAGACACCCAATATGCATGATGGAGGTGCAGAAAGACCACTTCGTCGTTTCTGTTTCAGACAGGTTAGTCATTATGTCAGTGAATGTTCCAATCCCAAAGCCAATGATGATTGCACATTAGTGTATAGGAATTGCAAGCAAATGAGGCATATTTATCAGCAATGTAATGTTCCATCCAATTTCAATAAATAGGATCAGCAGATGCAAAGCTAAGGAAAAATTGAGGAGATAAATCAAGGTCCTCAAGATTCTCTGATAAATCGGGTGGAATGAGTCTGAGCCATTCTTACTAAGAGTCAGAAAAATGAGAAAGGACCAATTCAATATTTGGGTGAGTCAGATGTGAAGGGCCAATTTGTTCCAATTACAGGGACATCCAATCCAGGTCCTGATATGGGCCTCTTACCCAGTATGAGACCTGACTTGGTTGGACAATCTAATGAGGTCCTGAATATGGAGGCTTCGGTTCTATTTCAAGCTGTTTTATTCTCTATGCCATTTTGGAAGAAACGTCCTTTCCGTGGAAAGATCC